AACCTGAGAGGAGGACATTCCCCCTTCCCACCCTCCCTCCCGTTCTTTATTGAATCCCTTCATAAACTTAGAAGTATTGGATGAGACAGACAAGTCCCTCCCTTCATGGGTCTTAAGTTTTAGAAGGTAGGATGGTGACAGCCGACTGAGCAGAGGTATGTGATGGAATGATGGTGGGGGGAGGGCAGCAGTGTGATCAGCAAAGTCTGTGACCTGAGGGAGCACAGGCCAGCTGTGTTCCTGGGGGAAGACCTCAGGCGAAGAGGAGCTCAGCATTTGGGGGGACAGAGGGAGGAGGTTGGGGGGTTTGCTATCTGGGATAGTTTGTCATGAATCACCTTGGGAGCCTCTTAAAGTACAGGTTCTGATTCTGTAGGTCTGGGGAAGTCTTGAAATTCTGTGCCTCTGCCCATCTCTGCCTGGCATTGCTGATGCTGCAGGCCCCCAGCACATGGCGCTGAGAAGCCATACAGAAAGCTGGGGCTGAGGGTGGGTTTGTGTGGACATAGCTGGCAGCATCAGCTGATGGATCCATGTGGTGGTGGGGGGGACGACTGGTGGGTGCTGTGCTCAGTCTGTGAGCTTCTCCTTTGACATCCTACTCCGCTCCCCGAGCCCCAGGTTCTCTCTCTGCCAGGACTCGAAGTGCCCACTGCACTTTTGCTTCTGGTGCAGCATCAACCCAAGAGCTAGGGCTGGTCAGTTCCTTCACCTCCTGTTTGTTGCTGTATGTCTAGTGATGGTCATCTACCGGCTCCTGCTGGCCTTGCTGTACCCTGACTCCATGCTTTGGCTGTCTGGGCTGTGGTGTCAGGCCACTTCCCTGTCATAGTGGAAGAATACTGTCGTGTGGCTAATTCACCAGTGAGCAATGGGTTGGCAATATCTGGATTACCTTCCTCCATGCGGCTTTGGACAAGTGACTTTGTACCTTCATGCCTAACTTTCCTTTCTAAAAATTTACGGCCTGGACTTGATCTTGGAACTCTTTCCCAGCTTTATGACTTTCTCTTCACTACTTCTCAACACCACTGAGGCATTTTGCTCCCTTAATTTCCTAAATTTAAAAGGAGAAATAATTTCTTTACTAAAATCCCTGTTATCTTGGCCATCCTCAGTTACTGAGCTCTTATTGGGCATATTCCAGAGCTTCTAGAAGACCCTATCCTGTCTGTGGTGCCAACCCTGTTGCACTTACAAGTCTGCAGCACTTTGAGCCATTTGGGAAGGTGGGACAGGATGAGGCTGTTCTGAGCAGTGTTTTTGTGCTGGGTAGAGAGGGTCCTGCCACCATTGGTCCTGGCATCCTCATCAGCCAACTCTGAGGTACCCAGGCTGGATACTCAGCTGCTTGTTCCAGCGAGACCCCTACCTCATCCCTGAGCCAGTCATTGACTTGAACCTCATGTCTACAGGCTGGCAGCCTGGGGACTGGAGCGATGGCCCACTGAGCGATGGCTAGTGGTCATAGGATTTGTTCAGACCCCCTCCGCCACCTCAGTAAGGCTCCTGCTCAGCTCCAGCCAGGAGCCTCTACCACAGGGCACAGCTGCCCCTGAGAAGGCATGTGTTCTCTGTCCCAGCTGAGCATGTTTTAAGAGCCATTTCTCATGCTCTCTGGTGGTGACATTGCACCCTATATGCTTCCGCTGTTGGGGTCGACCTTCCCACTTCACAGGTTGGAACTCTGAGGCTGGGGTTTGGTGAGGGTGGTACAGGGACTTGGTCACTGACTTGTGCTCGGTGGCTGACATGGGGCTAGGTCTGGTCCTCTGTCCCATATGGCCTGATTACTGCAGGCCAGGGATGGAGGCTCCCTCCTCTGCTGCTTCACTACCCCACTAATCAGCCCAGTTTGATCTAGAAGTGCTGAGTCCCCCCAAGTCCGCAGTTGATTTCTTCATAGGTGATGCTGTCTATTAACATTCTTTGAGTTGCCATTATGTGACAAGCAACTTTTATTGCTTATAAACAGGACTGTTCTGTACCTAACGAGAAGCATTCAGTGGAAAATACCATTTTGTTTTGTGCTTCTTGAGCAAGTCTATAAGGCTTCTGTCAGCACAGCCTGGGTGCCTGTTTGTTCAGTGGTTAACTGCCAGCATTTGCTTGAGTGGAAATGAAGCGAACCTTACCACAAGCGGAATCAGTCATTATCAAATCAGATCAAACTAGTACAGTTCTTGCTCTTTTACTACTAATGACAAAACAATTTCTTGAAAAGGTACAAACAACAAAGTCTTTATTCCATATTTTTCTTTGCCAGCCATTGCTAGCCTGGAGATGTAATAGGAGAGAACTAGAGGGGAAGGCAGCATTTTGAAGATTTATTGATCAATAAGGGAGACAATTATAGCTTGTTTTATGAAAGGAAATCCCCCTCCCCAGCCTTGTGCGGCATCGACACCCTGGTAATGATAACTCTGCTAACCAGCTTGAAATGATAAAAGTCAATGGGAAGATATAGGATTTCAATAAAATTATTACACTCGATAAACCTTCCTGTGGAAACAAATTTTCCATAGATATGTGACCAGTTCTATTTGGGTTTGTAACTTTAATTTCTCACTTATTTAATTTTTTGTCATCAACTAATTACAAAGTCCATGCCAGGGTGACAGTTGTGTGCCTGGCTCATGAGAGAACCAGAGAGCTCCAGACCTAGCAGCCTGAAGCTCCAGGGTTCAGTTAGCTCAGGAGAGAGAAGGTGGGGAGTTTCCTAAGCCCCTTATATTCTCATACCTGCTCGCTAGTGAAGGAAGGGGCTAGTCAGGGAAGGGTGGACAGCTTGGTGCTGGAGGAATCTGAGCTATCGAGTTGGTCTTTCCCTGTGGAGTGTGGTTGTGCCTCAGCTCACGGAAGCACAAACTGAGAAAATGTATGTGGAAAGGGACCTGGTGACTGAGTAGACCCCACTTCTGAATGTGGGTCTTGCTCCCCAGGTGGTCTGAGTGAACAGGTCTCTATAAGGGTTGTGAACCTGCCCTTTCCACCAGTGCTGGTGCAGGCAGTCCCTGCAGCTCTTGTGGGAAGGAGTCAAGGACTCAGAATGAGGTCGTGCCATGGCTGGACTGACCTTTTTCCCAGCTCCTTTCCCAGAATTTGTGTTGGGAAAGGGGATGAGCCAGTGACTATGTAGAAACTATGTTCTGGACTTTATAACTGGCTAATGTTTTCCAGCATTAATAAAATTTTAGCTGTGTCTTATAAACACTGGTTGTTTACAGGGCAGCTTATTGGATGCTTTATCCATGATGGTGTTGATCTTTACAGCTGTCCTTTTTACCCCCGACTCATTAATCAAGAAGCTGAGGCTTAGGAGATTACATAGTTGACCTCAGAGCAGAGCTGGGGTTTGAACCTGGGTCTCATAGAAGCCCATCTTCTTCCTGGGCTCCGCTGCCCCCAGCATCTTCACCCTCTACCCCCCTACCCCCAGGGCAGAACCCCAGACAGAGGCTGCTGAGCATATCAGCAGGGATGTCTCTGAGGCACCTAGTAGAAACGCAGACCTGCTGAACCCAAGTCTGCATCATATAACACCCTAGGATATTTATGTACATGTGAGAGCAGACCGGGCTTCTGAAGGAGGACTTAACCTTCTCTGATTGTGCAGCCCGCTGTGAGCTTTGTAGATGACCGAGCAGGTAGGAGAAGGTCCCTAGCCTGCACCTGGAATCTGTTGGGGACAAGGTGGTCCATCCATACTCGGTCTGGGTCCAGATGAATCCAGCACCCCTGTAGTTTCAGGCCCACATCTGGGAACCTCAGTCAAAGGAAGGGAGAGCTGGCAGCCATCAACCCAGAGGAAAGACTGTGCTTCCCCACAGCCACAGTGCCCTTTACGTGGGCCATCAGAGCAGCTTATTTCCTGACCCCAAGGGCCTCCTCACTGTCCACGGGCCTTCCCTGCTGGCTGAGCAGAGGACTTTCTCCCCTCAGGACTATGTGATCCATCACTCAAGCATCACAGAACAGAATCTGTTCCAATCCTGGCTCCGGAGTTAGCCATCTGTCTCTCCCAGGGCCCTGGACTTCCTGGCTCACACTGTCAGCCTTAATCAGCATTCTAGCAGGGCGCAACTGAGCAGTAATTTCTGTTATGGCTTTAAGAATTAGTTCTGGTGCTGTGTGATCGGTCTATCATCCCAGGAAACCTGAGCAGCTGCTTTACGTGACTCCCATCTTTTGTCTGAGAAAGGAGGAAACCGTGCTGGGCATGGCTGGTGGCATGGTGACAAGCTGTGGCCTCAAGCATCTGTGAGCTCTGTGGGAAGTCAAGGCACTTGCTGAGACCAGAGCCTTTTTAGCAGGGACCCCAGCCCTTCAGAGAGCTCTGGGCAGTTGGACAGAGGTGTGGGTTTCTCCATCCCATTGGGGTGTTGCAGCTCCCCTGCTCAACTGGGTCTCTCCTCACTCATCAAATCTGCTGGCTCGGATCCTTGTTGTACATGTTACTGACCAGAGGCCAGGTCAGAAATCATGAGAAGAAGGGTGTTCAAATCCACTTCCTGGCCTGACCCCTCTGTGGTTTTCCTGGGCCGAGTTTGATTGGGACTCAGAGGAGTCACAGGGGCCCGCTGTGAGCCCACCCTGTGGGTGCTATGTCCTCAGTGGGCAGGTGACCTCCATTCCCCATCCCAGTCTGGATTCACACAGCTGGCCCAGGGCAGGATGCCCACCCCCACCTCCTGCAACTCAAGGCCTGGCCTCATCAAAGTGAGCACCGAGACCATAGATGGGACTTTTGGGTTCATTGGCCCCAGGTTATGCTCGGCCTGGGAGCTCCAAGTGCCTGGAGTCCTCTCTTCCCATTCAGTGGGCTCTTGAGGTGGGCTCTGAGTGTGGAGCTAAATCCTTGAGCTCCTCGAGGCAACACGAGAGGGAGCCCCTGTGTGATCCTGCTCCCACCTCTGTGTTTCTCAGAGCTTGTCCCCAGTGTCATCTCACCACCCCCTGCCCCACTCCAGGCCCTGACCTGCTGCCCTCTGTGCCCACAGGAGCGAGACGGTATGCGCGCCATCCTGGGGTCCTACGACAGCGAGCTGACCCCTGCTGAGTACTCGCCCCAGCTGACCCGTCGCATGCGGGAGGCCGAGGACATGGTGCAGAAAGTGCACGCCCACAGCACGGAGATGGAGGTGAGTCTGCATGGTGGGCAGGGCTCATGCCACCCAAGGGGTCCTCTGCCCCAGGTGCCCCAGGCTATATTGTGGGTCACCTGTGATGTCCTCTGTGAGATGACCTTCACTCTCCAGCCAGCCCTGCTGAATGTACAGTGTGGGCCAGACCCCTTCCAGGGGAGTGTCAGTCAGAGCCCCTGCCCCTTGGAGCTTAGCTTCTAGGTGAGAGAGACATTTAATACATAAACATAAATTGCATATTATATTAGAAATGCTGAGTTTAATGGAGAAAGAGAGTTGTATAAAGGAGGGCTCCCGGGGAGCTGCCTGTTCGGGGAAGGTGGAAGGAGTTTCTCTGAGCCATGTCTGGGAAGGTGGTTGGTGATAATCCAGTAGGTAAGAGGGGAGCATGGAGGGACAGAGGCTCAGGTGCTAGGGAGGGCATGGAGCCTGGGTGTCTGCCATTCTTTCTACCTGCTACTTGCACTGAGGCCACACTGAAGAGTCAGGTGGGGACAGCCCTCACTGCCATGCTTGGCAAGAACAAGTCCCTGAGTGAGCGAGACCACTCCTCAGGCCCTGTACCCTGGTGTGGTCTTCTGACACCCAGACCCCACTGTCTGGGCCTCGGTCTGGGTGCTTGTCCACAGCCTGGTTTCCCTTTCTGTATCCAGTGGCCCTGGAGTGCAGGGCCTGCAAGGGCCTGATGCTAACTGCTATGCACAGACCTTCAGTTCTGATTTGAAAGGTTAACTCCAGCTGTACCAAATGAAATTGCCATAAATATAAGTGTATTAATAGCCATTTTATTACAACACATTTGGCTCCATATGAAACATTAATGAAGAGAGATTTTCAGGGAGGGCTCTCTGATACCTTCTGCTGTCCCCAGCATTTTTAACATAGAGAGATTTCTCCTGTCTGTGCTTGCCATGTGCACTCTGATCGGTTCATTATAAGCCCAATAGTCAGGGCACATCCAGCACCATGTGTTCTGATGTTTCATGTGTTGAGGTGATCGGGGGCTATCAGGGGCTCAGACTCAGTGACCAGACATGGTCATCGTGTTGGCACCTTGCTGGGACAGCTCAGTGGGCCTCAGCCATCACCCACTAATGGGGTGTGAGTTGGGGGACCCCTCTCCTCCTCCCTCTCCATGGTGGGACATGTAGTGGGCAGGTCGCTCCCCTTCTCATCCCTCTTCTGGAGTTATGGGAAAAGTGGGTGGATGAAAGAGTCAGAGGTCGGGCTGAGCCCGTGGCGCACTCTGGAGAGTGCGGCGCTGGGAGCGCAGTAGCGCTCCCGCCGCGGGTTCCGATCCTATATAGGGATGGCCGGTGCGCTCACTGGCTGAGCGTGGTGTGGCCGATCTCACAAAAAAAAAAAAAGAGTCAGAGATCTATCAAGTGCTGGAGTGCAGTCAGCCATCACCAGCCCTGACTGTTCCTCTCTGTCATCATCATCACTGTGGCAGTTCACGCAGCCAGTCCTGGTGCAGGGTGGGGGCTAAAGATGTTAGAAATCAGCAGCCCCACCCCTTTGGGAAGTAGAGATAGTGATTGGATTCAGCGTGGTCTGCGATTGGCTTGGGTGCCCCTGTGGAGTCCTGGCCAGAGCCTCCATCCACTCAGGCTGGGAAGCTATGAGTGTCCTGCCTCCACCAAGTGGCAGCAAACAAGCCTGTGGTCCTGAGAGCCCCACAACTGGGGTGGGCTGCTGTAGAGTGCACACTGAAGAGGAGTTCTTCTCCTTGGCTTTGGCTGTTTCTACTGTTCATCTCCAAGAACCCCTCCTTGTCTCCCTCCAGGCCTATCTCGGTACCTGTGCTGGGGAGGACGACCCTCCTTCCCCTCCAGCCAGCTCTTCCTTTATTCCCTGTTCCCCGCTCTCCTCCTCTTCCTTCCTCTCTCCCCCTCCCTCTAGTCAGTTCCTCACACACTGACCTGATCTGTACCAGGACTAACTAGGGTGGTATATCTTAAAGGGATTTTTCCTAAATGCTTGATAACGTCACAGAAGTTATGTATATAGAGAAACACATACATAGAAAAAGTGTTTCTTCTGTAGTTTGTGGAGGATGTTACCTTTTTAAATGGAAATATGAAAATGTATGAAATACCCACCTTGTTCCTGTGGGTTCTTGCCAGCAGCTTCCTTGACAACATGAAGCCCAAGCCCCCTGGGCATTCTGAGCAGCTAGTTAGGTGCCACCCTTGTTTAGCATCGTGGCCTTTCTTACAGTTGGTTGGGGTTGGCCCCATAAGCAACTTTGAAAGCATGAAGCCCTCAAAGGAGATGGCCTCTTTTATGATGACTCCTATTGCCCAGCACCATGTTCAAGCCTTTAATGCCAGTCCTCTCCTCCTCACCAAGTGCTTGGCAAGGTGTTCTTGCCCTTCTGCAACAGGATGGAGCTCAGGCGGCCTGGCTGGAACTTCTCTGCCTGGTACTTCTCTGCCTGGTGGGATGCTGGCTGGGGGCCTCTGGCTGGGTGCAGGCAGCTCCTCAGGAGGGCTTTAGGCCAGAGCGCCTGCCTATGGGGAGCCTCTTTTGGGGGCTCCGCTGCACTTAGTTCTCCCCATGGTGGTAGCCCAAGTTAGTGAGAATGTGACCATGACTTTAGGAACTAAGCATGTTAGTGCAGGGAAAAGGACGGGACTAGGTCAGGTGGAAGGTTTATAGTCCAGGGGAGGGTTGGGGCGAGGCTCCACATGAAGTGGGGGTGAAGGACAGCTGTGCCAACCATGTACCAAGTAGCAGGTGGGCCAGGTAGGCCATCCCCAGGATGGCGAATGCCCAGTGGAGGGTAGCATGGGCTCTGGTCAGAAGACGCAGGGCTGTGGGCTTCAGTCTCCTCCTTTCTACAAGGTCTGGTGGTCCCGTGTTGCCTGGCAAGAATGCTGTCAGCCTCCCTGGAGGAGAGAACCTGGAAGGCATTTGGTGAGCCATGCTAAGGGCTGGGCCCACCCTGGAGGTGGACATCCCACAGACAAGTCCATGTGTCATGTGCTCCTGGGTGGAGTGGCACTGCCCCCAGCAGCCCCAATTTCCCCCAGGTTGGGCCGCGGGAGCTTGGACCTTTGCTTGTCTCCTTGCAGGGTCTGGCCTCTGGGCTGAACAGCCTGTTGTTCTTGGCTCCCATGTGCTGTGTCCTCTGGGGCCTCCTGATCACTCGTGGCTAGGGTGCTGAGTGCGTAGAACCCTGCGCTGGGCTAGAAAGCCAACTGGAGGCCCAGAAGCAGCCAGAGAAGATGCACTGGCTGCAGCCACGTGGATGTTGACGGTTTTTCTCACTACCTCCTGCTTGCCCAGCCACATCCTTGCCCACAGGAACCAATGCCAGTCCCAGCCTGGGCTTCCCATGGCCTGGACCCTCTTCCCATCTCCAGCCTGACTCTTCTTGGGGGACCAGGCCTGTGTGTCAAGACTGCCTGTTGTGTGGCAGCCCAGCCATTGGGTACTTGGGGTCTTTGAACCCTGTTCCAATCAGGCCCTTCCAGGTTGGCGCCTTTATGCTAATCCTGTTAATCACTGTGATAAACATCATCTGTCACTTACTGATCACGTCTGACTTGCAGTTGCTGTGCTGGGCACAACACATGCCTCATTCATCTTCTTGCCAGTTGCTTGAGGGTTGGGATCAGTCTTGGTTTTTAGTTGAGGAAATTGAGGCCAAGGAGGGGGGAGTCAAGAACAGATCTTCCTGACTCTTCACTGCAACACGGTCCTGCTCCTTGCAGCGTTCTCCCCATGCCCTCTCCAAAGGTTGAGGGTGCTGAACTTCAGCTCTGGGGGCCCTGATCCACAGACCCCGCTCTTGCCCAGGGTCCAGGGGCTCCAGCCCCCCCTTACCAAGCCTGGGACTCCGCAGCTGCTGCTGTTGGCACTGGGGGACCCTGAGCATTGAGAGGCAGGGGGAGGGTGTGTGCTCTGCTGCCCAGTGGGGCTTGCTCTAAGGGATTTGCTGGGCAGTCTCACAACTCTCTGTGTTGGCAGCTTGTGGGCCCAGTCCTGCAGCCCCAGGAGGTTCTCCACGTTGGGAGGAGGCCCTTCCTTTGACCGCAGCCTCCAGTTCAGAGCAGCCAGGCCCTGGGCTTTGTGTGTGGCAGGGCTGGTGACCTTGAGGGCATTAGTAGGGTGGGTTTTTCTATTCCGTTTTATTAAACAGTAATATTTTATATATCAGAAACTCTGTAAACTGCCCACAGTTGGAGAACTCTAAAAGCTACTTCAAGCTGCCTGTCAGAAGTTTATTAGTTGAGCATCATATATTGACACACAGTAAAAAGTTATGTAACTTTATAGAACTCATTCCTTAAAGGTTCCTTAGTGCCTCCCAGACAAGTCATTAGTCACTGGCGGCTGAACGCAAGTGCTGTTTGGGGGCGCACGGCAGCTCTTGCTGCGAAGCAGAGGAGGATCCTTGCTGATGAGCCCCAGAGGTGCTCATGACGTCCAGTCGTCTCAGCGAGCCAGAGGGTTGCTGAGGTGGAAAACACCCCCCAGCCTGCCAGGGTCTGATTGTGCAGACAGACTAGGAATGAGTTCCTCCCCCCCCCCCCCCCCCCCCCCCCCCCCCCCCCCC